TTTTTTTTTTTTTTTTACCTCAAAAGTATTTACAATTGCTGGTTTTTTTTTGTTTTTTTGTGCAGAAAACGAAACTTAATAAAAAATAAAAAATAAAAAATAAGAATCATTTCGAAATCCGAAGAGTCCCCTCTGCTTCTGGCGGTGGGGGGGGGGGGGGGGGGGGGGGGGGGGGGGGGAGAAGCGGAGCCCCCTCCTCTCTCCTCTCCTCTCTGCTCTTGGGGCCGGCGGAGGGCACAGGGTGCGCTGCTGGGGGGGCTGTGGGGAGAGGAGGGGGTGGGTGGGTGTCCCCAATGGGTGGCACCCATGTAATGAGTGTCCTGAACACCCCCCCACCACCACCACCCAGCACCCGCATGCTTGGGGTGTGGGGTTCACCCATAAGCAGTTTGGCACCCACCTACCCAAGGGTTTGGCACATGTATATCTGGGGTTCTCTTCATGCCCATTCAGCACCCATATACCCAGGGGTCTGGGGTCCTGGTTACCTCCATCCAACAGCCACAGAGCCACGGCTCTGGTACCCGTGTGCCCAGGGGTCTGGGGTCCCCATCACCCCAGTTTGGAGCCCATATACCCAGGGGTCTGACACCCATGTGCCCTGGGGTCTGGGGTCCCCATCACCCCACTTTGGAGCCCATACACCCAGGGGTCTGACACCCATGTGCCCAGGGGTCTGGGGTCCCCATCACCTCAATCTGGAGCCCATATACCCAGGGGTCTGACACCCATGTGCCCAGGGCTCTGGGGTCCTGTTCTCTCCCCTCACCCAAAGCACTCAGGGGGCTGTTCACCCCCACCCAACACTCACATATCCAGGAATCTGTCACACTCCCATACCCTGGGGTCCTGCTCACCTCCATCCAACACCCATTACCCAGGGGCCTGGCACCCATCTACTGAGGGTCTGAGGTCCTGCTCACCTCCACCCAGCACCCACATACCCAGGGGTCTGGTGCCCATCACCCAGGGGTCTGAAGTCCTGCACATCCCCCACCCAACACCCACGTATCTGGGGGTCTGGGGTCCTGCACTCCCTCCCATCATCATGCACATACCCAGGGGTCTGGTGCCCACCTACCCAGGGTTGTGGGGTCCTGCTCACCTCCATCCAACACCCACATACCCAGGGGTTTGATGCCCATCGACCTGGGGGTCTGGCATCCTGTTCATCTCATCCCGGCACCCACATACCTGGGGGTCTGGGGTCCTCTTAATCCCTGTCACCCACATATCCAGGGGTCTGGTGCTCATCTACCTGGGGTCTGGGGTCCTGCTCACCTCATCCTGACACCCACACGTCTGAGGGCCTGGGGTCCTCATAATGCTCACCCAGCACTCACATACCCGGGGGTCTCGTGCCCATTACCCAGGGGTCTGGGGTCCTGCACATCCCCCATCCAATACCCACATACCCGGGGGTCTGGGGTCCTGCTGACCTCTATCCAACACCCACAAACCTGAGGGTCTGATGCCCACCTCCCCAGGGCTCTGGGTTCCTGCTCACCTCCATCCAACACCCACACAGCCAAGGCTTTGGCGCCCACCTACCCGGGAATCTGGGGTCCCGGTCACCTCATCTTGGCACCCACAATACCCAGGGGTCTGCTGCCTATCTACCTCGGGCTCAGGGGCCGTGCTCACCTCCATCCAACACCCACACACCCCAGATGTGGCACCCCGATCCCCCCCCATACAGCACTTACTGGACGACAGCTGCATCTCAGGGTCCCACGGCGAAGCTGCCCAAGTCTCCTGGCGCTCAGCTCTCCGCGCTCAGCACCGTCCGGCACGACAAAACACCCCCAGCAAGTGAGCAAATGGAAGGGAAAAGAAAAAAAAACAAACCAGATCCCCCCCCCTTAAGGGCAGCCGAGGGTCCCCACGGCACCAGGGAGGGGGCATCCGGGCCGCTGCCCCCCTGTCCGTCCGTCCGTCCGATTGTCCTTCTGCAGGGCAGTCCGGAAAGCAGCGCCGGGTTGGGGTGAGACGGAGCGGTCGTAGTACGAAGGGGGGTGGAGGGGAAAAATGGGGTTTGTCTCTTTCTTCCTTTTCTCTTCTTCCATTTTTTTTTTTTTTTTTCCTTTTGTTTCGCATATT